GTTTTAATGCAAGCTGCTCCAGATTCCGGCTGCTTCAGTTTTGATAAATTCCCCGCACTGTATATAAAAACTGTTTAATCTGTTAATAGTCTATAGAGCGTAATTTTCATAAAACATTTACAAAACTTTTAGCAAACTTTAAGGAGTATTGAACTGGTAAATCACCTTCAACTCCAGTGTGGTGTTGATGAACAAAAAACTAAAAAAGGGCGCACTCTCATCGCGCATCACTGTGGTAAACCACGTGTTTATTGTATAATCAAATAGATATATACTCACAAACCAAAGGATAATAAAAGCAGTATGAATAGTCCGCAATGGTGGTCAATGCAATGCTGTGCCCTAATTGGGGATAAACTGACACGTTTCGGGAGACAAAACCCCTTCCTCAGAGCTCCCGAAACGCGTCAGTTTATCCCCATTTGGGGCACAGCATTGCATTGACCACCATTGCGGACTATTCATACTGCTTTTATTATCCTTTGGTTTGTGAGTATATATCTATTTGTCCCGCAGCCACCAAGAATTTGCACACAGGCCCATAGAGCCCCTAGTGTCCTTCCTGACGTGCTTGCTCGTAAATCCTGATCGGTAGCCCACAGATTCGGCAGCATCTGTACTGGCCCCCCCCCCCCCCCCCCCCCCCCTCACATTCACTGCCCAACCCGGATTTCAGGTGGAAACAGCAAATGTAACTCCCTTTGCATTTATGGAGCTGTTTTTTTACAGTAGATTTGTACAATTTGATTGGGGGCTAAAGCAATTTATATGCTCTACAGTATATCGCTGCAAACCCAAATTCAAACCTTGCCAGACCACTCACAAGGAAACCCATTACGGTTTCCGAATATAAAACTTTTTGGGTCTAACCCTCAATAGGGCATTACAAAAAAGAATGAGTTGCGGTTGTATTGGTCCACAGACCCGATTCATCATATGCCTGTGTTCACTGCTCCCATGACCAGGCATAGATATGAGACGATAATGCGCTTCATGTATTTCAGTGATAACACACTCTGGCATCCTCGGGGTGACCCTGAACATGACGGGCTCTACAAAATTTGGCCCCTCATAAACCACCTCACTGAGAAATTTGCAGATGTGTATATGCTTCATCAGAACATCTGCGTGGATGAGTCCCTCATTCATTTTACTGGCCACCTTGCATTCAAACAGTACATCCCCAGCAAGCATGCAAGATATGGGGTCAAATTGTATCAGCTCTGTGAGAGGGCTACAGGCTATACGTACAAATTTAGGGTTTATGAGGGAAGAAACAGTGAAGTAGAGCCCCCCCCCCGACTGCCCAGACAGTGAAGTAGAGCCCCCCCCGACTGCCCAGACAGTGAAGTAGAGCCCCCCGACTGCCCAGACAGTGAAGTAGAGCCCCCCGACTGCCCAGACAGTGAAGTAGAGCCCCCCGACTGCCCAGACAGTGAAGTAGAGCCCCCCGACTGCCCAGGACTTGGTGTTGTGTTTGTTCCGTAAGGGGGTACCACTTATACGTGGACAATTTCTATACAAGCGTGCCACTATTTAGACATTTTTTACAATCTTGGAATTCATGTGGCACCTAATCGCTGGGGCTCCCCCCTACGTCTTGTAAATACCCGACTTAAAAAGGGGGGGAAAGCCTGCTTGAAGAATGATGAATTGCTCGCAGTGAAGTGGAAGGACAAACTGGATGTTTTTGTCCTGTTTTTCAATCACGCAGACGCGACAGTCCAAATGAACATGGTATCTGGTGTTGTTGAGAAACCCCTCTGTGTCCACTTCTATAACTTTAACATGAGAGGGGGGGACTTCAACGACCAAATGATGAATCTGTACCTAGTTTCCCGGAAAGCACGACACTTGTACAAAAATGTGTCTATTTATTTATTTCAATTGGCTATATATAACGCTTTTGTAATTTACAAAGCAACTGGACGATGTGGATCCTTCCTAAAATTCCAGGAAGAGACCATCACAGCTTATTTGTATCCAGAAGGTGCTGTGGCCCAATCCTCAAATCCACACACTTTTTCTGGCAGAGATTTCTTCTCTCTTTTTTTTCCTTCAGCCCGAGGGCTGCATAAAAAAAAAAATAGAACATGGCATATACACTAAACAAGGACCAGCGACGTACTGGTATCAGTATCACTGCACTTTGAATAGTTATACCAGGATGATGCCTGCAGCTGCAGACCTCATCCTGGTATCGTTTTTTTTCAGCTGGTGATCGGCTTACATGTAAAAGCAATCCTAGTGGCTAATTAGCCCCCCCCCCCCCGCTGCCTTCCACGGCCTTCTCGGGCAGTCCCATGCCATCCGGGGAACCTGAGAATGTAGCCGGTGTTTCTGCCAGCTGACCATAGAGCTGATTGGAGACCAGAATGGTGCCAATCATCTCTATAGTCTAAGAAATTGGAAGCTACGAGCATTTCATCACTGCAGTTTTGCAGGATATAAACAGCGCCATTTGTAAAATTGGGAAAGCATCTGATCTCACTGATCTTGGTGAGATTAGATAATGTAAGGGCAGAGGAAATATCTAGAGTCTGATAGACCCCAGATTTCTCAAAGAATATATGACAATGCCCATTGAAGTTATAGGGGATATTTGCATTCCGTATGATGGCATTAAAAGTGTTAAGAAAAAGAAAAAAAAAAGCATGAGGGGATAGTGTAAAAATAATTTAAAAATCAAATTAACTTAAAAAAAGAAAAAAAAGCACCCTCAAAGAATTCCCTTCTCTTGCTGCTTCCAATCACCACCATGCAAGCAAAACACTGCATATAGTGCTTTATCTTTAAAAATATTTTTATTGTACCAAAAAGACCGATAAAATACTACTCGCACTCTGTGGGTGCTGGATTGCACCATATATAACCAGCCTCATAAAGATGTAATAACTCTTCACAATAGTGCTATGTAAAAACACCGGAAACACTTGAAGAAACACTTGCCACCTGTATGAGCGTCGTGATGTCTTCCAAGCCCCGCCGCAACGTGTTTCATCACATGGCACTTGACTTCCTCAGGGGGATGAAGGGGGGTAAATTATTGCCTACAACTCTTTATCAACAGATGGACATTCTTTCATGCAATTTACTTTGCACAGATTTATATATGTTTTTGGTTTAATTTTTATATTGGATTTATTTGCCAAATTAGATTAGATTGCATATGGGAGAACAGGGATATGGTAGTTTATCACTAGTGCAGCACTGTTTTGATTTTAAGTTTGCAGTATTAGTATGAGGGTCACTTAAGCTGCATGGTGGCTGATATATTATATGTAGCGATCATATTATTTTTTGCACAAGAGTCAATATGAGCAGAATACACTAGTTATTTAATATGAGGTTCAGTAATCATGTTGTTTTTTTTTTTTTTTTTTTTGCTCTATATTGTTGTTGAGTTTATACACATGTGATACATAGCAGCACATAAGTGTTTTTGATATTAATTGTATGTAGAATCATTAGTTTGGATATTTGCTTCTTGCCTCATATAGATGTAATGACTCTTCACAATGGTGATATGTAAAAACACCGGCAACACACGAATAAACACTTGCCACCTCATGTATGAGCGTTGTGATGTCATCCAAGCCCTGCCCCAACGTGTCTCATCACATGGCACTTGACTTCCTCAGGGGGATGAAGGGGGGTAAATTATTGCCTACAACTCTTTATCAACAGGTGGATGTTCTTTCATGCAATTTTCTTTGCGCAGATTTATACATGTTTTGGGGTTAATTTTTATGTTGGATTTATTTACCAAATTAGATTGCATATGGGAGAACAGAGATATGGTAGTTTATCACTAGCACTGTTTTGGTTTTAAGTTTTCATATGATTAGTATGAGGGTCACTTAAGGTGCATGATGGCTGATATATTATATGTAGCGATCATATTATTTTTGCACAAGAGTCAATATGAGCAGAATACACTAGTTATTTAATATATGGCACTCTTCCTACCACTCCATCCCCCACAGCTATCTCCTCCTGTGCCGCTATCCCCTCCCTCCTAGATTGTAAGCTTGAAAGAGCAGGGCCCTCGATCCCCTCATGTTTTGCATTGTATTGGTATTGTTCTGTCACATGTTCTGTCCCCCTTTGTAATGTACAGCGCTGAGCGAACCATTGGCGCTTTATAAATACTGTATAATAATAATAATATGGGGTGCGGTAATAATTTTTTTTTTTTTTTTTTTCGCTCTATATTGTTGTTGAGTTTATACATATGTGATACATAGCAGCTCACAGGGGTTTTTTATACTAATTGTATGTAGAATCATTACTTTGGATATTTGCTTCTTATGATGGGACCAGGCAGGGTCTGAAAGCTGCAGTTCTTTTGACTTTGGAGTATGTAGTGTCCCAACTCCCTTGTGGCACCGAGGGTTTTACTGATTGTCGTGATTCTTGATTTGATTGTTGAATACCTTTTCTACATAGAATTCTGCCAAAGTCCATAGCGGTTTACAGGAAAGTACATTATAAAGCAGACTGGTCATCTTGAGCGATAAGAATACAGTATGTTTGCATTAGCAATGGAAATCTTCCTTTCCGCATGTTTCCAGCAAATGTACCAAGATAGTCAAATGTAATATGAATGAAAAGGAAGAAGCCCAGTCCTTTCCTATTCATGAGAAGTACGCTGAGTTATGTGGGAGCTGTCTAGCCTTTCATTAAAGCGATGTGTTTTACATCCAGGCGGCCGAGGCATTGAGTCCTGTGGGGGAGAATAGCCCAGGAATGCCTCACGTTAACGAGCTGTTTTAAATAAGCCTATCTGCTTCCAATTGATATTCTGCAGCAGGTAAGCATGAGGAAAAATGCTATGGGCTGTTCAGGCCTAGGACCGCATTGAATGGGTATTCGCTCACTGAGTGTATTGTGTCTGCTTAATAGAGAAGCTGCAGTCAGTCTAGCTTCTTGCGCCTGTTTATACATTGGGAGTAATATCTGATGTGCATTGTGGCTGAATAAAAATATTCTTTTTTCAGGGAACGCAGGACAGCAACGAGCCGCCAGGAGGTTCTTCTGCTAATCTCCGCATGGAAGAGGTCCTGAAGCTGGTCAATATATTTGAGTCCCGCCTGTCTTTTCTTCTGTTACAGTTTGTCAAGCTCCTGTCTTCTAAGAAGAAGAAGTAAGTGTCTCTATTACCTTCTCATAAAGCTTTATGGGACTAGTCCAAACCCAGATCCCAGGTAGCTAGTGTGTCTTAAGAAATGTCTCACATTATTTATTTTTTTTAAGTTGTCCTATCCGGTTTAAGTCATAAAGTACTAGTGTTCACCGCATACTAGCACATTATGACAGACTTGCCTGCAAACGGAACCCTCCAGCGCAGTGCTGTCATGGCTCCCCCAGTGTTTCCATCATCGCCTGGTGTTCCTTTCAGCTTTCGGATCTATGGCAGCTTGAATGGCTGGGCTGCAGCGACGGCACTCCTGTGCATGCACAAAAAAGTCACATTGCCACAGCACACAGAGCGGGGCATAAATGTGATCTAAGCTGTGCATGTGCGGCTCAGGTCACATTACCCGCTGACAGGTGGCGGGACATTTATGAGAGACCAATAGGATCTCTTCTTTTATAAAAACCCTGCTTGTGCGCGGATTTTAACTACAGAGACTGTACTACCACTTTAAAGTGGAACTATGGGCAAAATAAAAATTTACATACAGGTGAAACTCGGAAAATTAGAATATCGTGGAAAAGTTCATTTATTTCAGTAATGCAACTTAAAAGGTGAAACTAATATATGAGATACTCATTACATGCAAAGCAAGATAGTTCAAGCCGTGATTTGTCATAATTGTGATGATTATGGCTTACAGCTCATGGAAAACCCCAAATCCACAATCTCAGAAAATTAGAACATTACATGCAATCAATAAAACAAGGATTGTACATAGAACAATATCGGACCTCTGAAAAGTATAAGCATGCATATGTACTCAGTACTTGGTTTGGGCCCCTTTTGCAGCAATTACTGCCTCAATGCGGCGTGGCATGGAAGCTATCAGCCTGTGGCACTACTGAGGTGTTATGGAAGACCAGGATGCTTCAATAGCGGCCTTCAGCTCTTCTGCATTGTTCGGTCTCATGTCTCTCATCTTTCTCTTGGCAATTGCCCATAGATTCTCTATGTGGTTCAGGTCAGGCGAGTTTGCTGCCAATCAAGCACAGTAATCCCATGGTCATTAAACCAGGTTTTGGTGCTTTTGGCAGTGTTGGCAGGTGCCAAATCCTGCTGGAAAATGAAGTCAGCATCCCCATAAAGTTCGTCTGCAGAAGGAAGCATGAAGTGCTCCAAAATCTCCTGTTAGACGGCTGCGTTGACCCTGGACTTAATGAAGCACAGTGGACCAACACCAGAAGATGACATGGCTCCCCAAATCAACATAGACTGTGGAAACTTCACACTGGACTTCAAGCATCTTGCAGTGTGTGCCTCTCCATTCATCCTCCATACTCTGGGTCCTTGGTTTTTAAATGAGATGTAAAAGTTGCTCTCATCATAAAAGAGGACTTTGGACCACTGAGCAACAGACCGTCTGTTTTTCTTTAGCCCAAGTAAGACGCTTCAAATATGGAATACGACATTTGAAGCCCATGTCCAGGATCCGTCTGTGTGTGGTGGCTCTTGATGCACTGACTCCAGCCTCAGTCCACTCCTTGTGAAAGCCACCAACACTTTTGAATGGCCTTTTCCTGACAATCCTCTCCAGGCTGCGGTCATCCCTGATGCTTGTGCAACTTTTTCTTCCACATAACTTCCTATTAATGTGCTTTGATACAGCACTTTGGGAACATCCAACTTCTTTTGCAATTACCTTTTTGAGGCTTTCCCTCCTTATGGAGGGTGTCAATGATGGTTTTCTGCAGAACTGTCAGGTCAGCAGTCTTTGCCATGATTGTGATTCCTACTGAACCAGACTGAGAGACCATTTAAAGGCCCAAGAACCCTTTGCAGGGGTTATGGCTTAATTAGCTGATTAGAGTGGGACACTTTGAGCCGAGAATATTGCACCTTTTCACAATATTCTCATTTTCCGAGATTGTGGATTTGGGGTTTTCATGAGCTGTAAGCCATAATCATCACAATTATGACAAATCACGGCTTGAACTATCTTGCTTTGCATAATGAGTCTCTCTCATATATTAGTTTCACCTTTTAAGTTGCATTACTGACATAAATGAACTTTTGCACAATATTCTAATTTTCACCTGTATATGGTGCAGTCTCTTAATAGCATTGACATAGCTTTATTATCACCTTTCTTTATCAGGCTAAAGTTGGCAGTTGGGACAAACCATACAGAACACTGGGCGATGTGTTTAGAACTTTCAGAATTTTTTTTTTTTTTTTTTTCTTTTATCAAAGTGGTTTAAAGCAAGCTGTTTCAGTAACTGCTTAACCACTTAAGTCCTGGGTGCCATTATAAAACTACACAAGGACAGGGGCTGATTGTCCCAGCTCTGATTTTTAAATCAACACCTGGAGTTGGCAGCTCCTGTGGGTCCTCTTGGCTTCTGGTGCAGGAACCACCAACTGTCAGGAAAAGCCATGGTACAGCACTATGCCTTGGGGCTGAGACTATCAACTCCCGGGCTACTGATCTGTCTACAGATTTCTGCATAGGAGTATACTGTAGAAGAGAATGTAAACAGTATGCTTCCACATTGTGTTTACATTGGAAGTGTAGGGATGTCATGGCACTTCTTGTTGGCACAGAAGCTTAGACAGAGCTGTTGCACTGTTAGATGAGATCTGTTGATAGCTGCATAGGAGGGTCTGGGTCTGATCTTCATTGATCAGATCCAGATCCCCGCATGAAGAAAAACAAAATTGTGAAAATCGGCTGTATTCCCTCCCAAAATGAATTCTGGGTGATATCGGATGGTCTTAATGATACAGCTTTCACTGTGCAAGCATCAAATTGTAACATTTTAGAGATTTTTAAACCTAATACTATGGCAGATTTCACTTCAACTATGTGATTTCTTTGGGAAACTGTCTACCCTCTAACAATATTTGGGCAGAAAAGCACTTTTCTTTCGATCTACCACCTGAATGTATTTGGGAGTATGACCCTGCACCTCCTAACTTCTTTGAGGATGATATGGAGAAAGGTGATGTGTATGTAGTAGAAGATCCTTGTCCTGCATTATACAAGGGATAAGCTAAAGCTTCATATCATATGCTTTCTACTGTGAGCTCAATTATTGAGACTTTGCCTAGCAGCACCAGAATCTCCTCAGCCTAAACAAGCTCCTAGCAGCACTAAATGTCTTTTGAAGTCTAGATGGAAGTCTTTTTTCCTTGCACGCCCCAACATAACTGTGCTTTGCATTAAGATTGGCTAAATCCTGAAAAGGTATTCCTTCCTCCAAAACTCTTCACTGAGTTATATTCAATCAAAAAGAAAATTTATGAAAAAATAGTCTGTCCTGGTATTGGATCCTGTTTTTTCATTTCCCAATGAACATCTCACTATTTCTTTTGAGGTTTTTCCATCCTGTAAGCATTCTGTGGATGGATGCTGTGAAAGCTTATTGAAGACAACCTTTGCTCTTGCTGGTCCTGTCTCAATACCAGCCATTGTGACTATTCATTTGCCCAGTCCAGTTAGCTACATCCTGATAAATGGACAAAGAGAAGACATTGAAGACCTTTTTTCTGTTGAAACAGTGCAGCCCATACCTTTTTGATGAAGCAATTTTATGTTGATTCCGTAGAGTACTTCATCAGGCCTCTGATGACACTGCTGTCTATGCACATGCACAGAATTTTGTGGTTAAAGGCTTGTCTGCTGAGCCTACTTGCAAAAGGCATATTTAATGCATGCCTTTCGATGGGGAATGCCTGTTTGGTGAACTAGTCTATTAATTTATCAGGGAAGTTACTGCCACTTCTAACTAAAAGGAGTCCTTTCAATACACTTAGGTGTCCTTCTCAAAGGTAGACCCATCCTTTTGTCACAAGCCTTGGACCCCTAGATCTTCAAAGCTTACCTAGAAAAACCACCTTCACAGTGAAGGGGCATCCTCACTTTTGGAGTAGGGGGAGCTTGTGTTTGCATTGCACCAGTCTGGATCAGAGGCCCCAAACCTCTAAATCAAATCTGTCATTTCCAGGGACTACAAAATTCAGTAAATATCCTTGCGTTCTCCTCCTAAAGGCAGACCGATTTGTGGGCTGCCCTGACTCAACTTTAGACGCAGAGTGGTAATCCCTTTTCCAACCTATTCACAGTCCCAAAGCCAAATGGGAGGCATTCGCCCCATTTTGGACCTTAATTGATTTTTTCGTGTCCCCAAATTTCATATGGAGCCCCCCTAACCTGAGAATAGCTATGACAGATTTTGCACATTTCTGAAATCAGTAGGCTTCCAAGTTGCCTGTCTTTACAGTTTCATCATTCCCGCACACCAATGCTTTCTGCACTTTGCTGTGGAAGACCCAACACCTTCAATTTGTCACCCTGGCATTCAGGCTTTCATCAGCACCAGCTCTTGGCCCTGCTCAGGTCTCAAGGCATCCAGGTCACAGGATATCTGGATGACATTTTTGATTAAAGATTTGTCAGCCACAGTCCTGTCTTTCAACATTCAAAAGACAGTCTAGTTTCTTCAAACTTTTGGATAGGTGATCAACTTCAAGCAGTCTGTCCCTAGGCTCCCCATCTCCTGGAGTACTTGGGGTGATCCTGGACACACCTAAGCAAAAATGTTTCTTCCCCAAGAAAAGAGTTCTGAAGTCCAACTGCTAGATGCTTAGGTCAACCATATTCACCAGACATCCATTGACTTGTGGGACAGGCATGTCCCTTCTCTGGATTGTCCACTATTGCTCCCCAGCCAGACACAAGTCTTCCTGGCAAGGTGGATTTCCAACTCTGCCTAGCAATCTGGCAAATGTATTCTTTTCCTCACTCTGGAAGGTGGTAACAGACACAAGCCTGATGAGTTGGGACAGGGTTTACAATTCCCTTTTTGTCCAGGGAACCTGGTCCCCACAGCAGTCAATGCTCCTGATCCACATTCTGGAAATGAGAATGAGAAGCAAGCCTGGTTCTCTTCTGGGCAGAAAACAATATTCCATCTTTCACCACGTTCTACATACTGGGTTTAGAAAAT